CTTTTACTTGAGACATTTTGTAAATAGATGGATTGTATTCCCACATCTTCAAGCATAAGAATATAATAGACAATGACAATGCATCTGCTGCAAATTGCAATTCATTTGCGATAAAAACAATACAAGTTGTAGGCATCTAAATGATAAGATGCATGGCTAAACAAAAACATGCCCCATTTTTGGCAAACAACATAAAAAAGCTCCTTTCTCTTTTGCTTTAACTCTAGAGTACTATTCATTCTCTATTCTCTACTCTTTTGGAGGACAAGCCTTGAAAGAAAAATAACCAGTATAAGGGTCGCACGTAAAAGAAGAATTCAAATTGCGTTGCGGGCACATATCAGGCCAGTGGTCATATGGCTTCCCACAGGTTCTACAATCCATGAGGATTGCACGTCCACGGGTATTGCCGCATTTGGCACAACATGAGTCTCTAAACCTACATCCGCAGATAATACACTGAACCGAACAACCCTTGCCAAGAATTGCATTCTTTGGGACATCATACTTGTAAGGGCACCGTTGTGTAATGTGATCATCCACCTTTAAACAGTACCTACATTCACCTGTGTGAAATTTGTAGACCCATTGTTAAATACAACAAAAGCAATAAGAATAAATACTTTTTGTTTTTGTTTTTTTTTTTGGGTTAATGAAGAAGATAAATCCCAAAAATAAGTATTGTGAGCACATGACATAGAATTATAACGTATACGTAGATATTATGTCATACAACGAATACATGGATATTATATTATAAGAAGAGAGAAAAAATATATGATGAAATATATGTAAATACAGTATGGATCTTTTTATTATATTATGTATAATCAAAAGCATACTAATAGGATTAGGATGGAGGAGGGAGGAGGGAGGAGGGAGGAGGGAGGGCTATCTATTTTTTTTTTCTTTTCGTCTCTAAAATTAATAGGCCAACAAGGTTTTGCCTAATGGAAAAGAGCCTTAATTTGCAGACTAGTTGTCTCAAGTTCAAAGCCACATGACAACTCGATAGTGTGTGTGAGATACCCACCTCACCCTTGTAGTTTATACTATGGCTTGTATCATAAATAAAAAACATACCAGCAGGAATAGGAGGGTCCGGGGCCTTCAAAAAGTCAACATTTGGTGACGTGTGGTTAACAAAATAAGTGATAAGTTCTTCAAACCTCCTTTGTTCTGCAGTCTTTGGTGGTTTAACCTTGTCATCTTTTGTTTCCATGCAATTACATTGTTAAATACAAAAGTAAAAAGGAAAAGAATGGGTGATAACGTCAAAGAAGTTGGAAGAATGACATTGATACTACTAACAAATAACTATATTATTAAATATCGGGAATTCATCGTGCACGCACCAAAATAACTTGACTGAAAAAGATGAAAGTGATTCAAGAATTTGGGATAATATATACATCCTCTAATTACACCAACAAAAGTAAAACAAAAACAACAGTTTCTTTTTTCCAAACCATACAAAGCCCAATAGTTTACAAAAAAGCCTTTGGTTCTAATTAAGAATAAAAACAAAATCAGTTATAGCTTAATCTGATGAATTAGCAAAGGTTTCGACCAACTTCAATTACTTCCCAAAGACAAAATTTTTGCTGAGAAATACACTCAATTAACCAAATGGAGCAACAATCTTCCTCTTAAAGTATTTTCAAATCAAATAGAACTAGGATATTGTACAAAACGAAATTCTACCACATAAACCAGAAAAACATACATACCCATTGACTTCAAAATTGAATTCCAAAGAGACTTATCGGTGTCATAGCCGACCCTCTCTTGCGGGGACAGGTCCTTTCCCCCGCCGCCGTCCTTATCGAGCACCACCGATTGGCCAGCCACATTTGGCGAGCAAAGGAAAAGGTCCTTTGCAGAGCAGTTGTTATCAAGCACCATGTGGGGGATTTTAGGGTTAAGGGCTTGGCGTAGAGATGAGATTGTAAATACTGGAGAAATTTTTAAATGTTCCAGGTACACCACGTGTCTGGTGTACCATCCAATAAACATAGAACATGTGGAATTATTATCCAACTTACTGCATTTCTTCTTATGACATGTGGCGGACTGCATTGGACATATTCCATATGTCTTCCGTCTATTGGATGGTACTCAAAAATTACTCTACTGAGATTAAAAAGATGGGTGCTTGCTTATATAGGCATGGACAGAGCTTCTTCTTTTTTTTTCCTCTTTTTCTTTAGACCCCAATGCACGCATCTGACGTCTTTAATAAGCATAATGCACGTATTAAATGTTTTTATTCTTTTATCATTATTATTTTAAATGTGTTTATGTGGTTTGTTTTGTTTCCTGTTTAGCCCTTGTTCTTTATTTTTTCCTTCCCTTTTTATTGTTAGTGCCGTATGGAAGACACGTCTTGGAGGGTTTTGGTACAAGATTTGATATCAAAAGTTATCTCTGTTTTTTGTCTCCCCATCTTACTGTTTTTTGTCTCCCCATCTTTCTGTTTTTGTTCCATTAGATCTTTTTTTTAAAATTTTGCATCTTTTTTCTAGTGTAATGTGTACTATCCCCAAAACAAAAGGGTAATATATTTTTTTTTATTGATTTCTTGAGGTTCAAGCATGGAAAGTCTCAGTTCATAGAGTAATATTTTTTTTACTTCCTAAAACAACAATTCTCATCTTATAAAAGGATGCCTACCGCTTGAACTTTTTCAAACTTACAAAACAACTTATCTTTCTTTCTCAACAACAAATTGGAGAGCCTTGGAGAGCCGAGTTGAGTTGAACTTTTGTTTTGCATTATGACTGAGACATATTCTACGACCAATCAAGACTTGAAGGTTTGTGACATTGACACTACTTATTAGAATACAATTATTATTACTTTCTATCATACAGTGTGTTAAATCTATATCTATCATACGCACTTACTAGCTTCATGAGACATATTCTCATTCTTATTTTCTTATCTTTTCTAACCTAATGAATTTTAAATTTTTATTCAGGTAGAAGGATGGGGCACACCAAACATCGGTCTTATTAGTAATAAAGACTCTGGAGCAATCATTGTTGGCGTCAATACGAGGTCTACAAGTCCTAATAATAAAGGATTTATTTTGAATGAGGGCGCAAATTTTTTTTTGTATATGGAGAGTTGCAATGTACTTGCAACTATGGCCGGAAATTCCATAGATTGTATGAATATATTATGTAGTGTGGATAACGTAATTGGACGTGCATGTGGGAACGTAGTTAATAATGGCATCCATTGTGCACCAGAAATAGTAGTTAATGATGGCATCCTTTGTGCGCCAGAAATGGCCCGTAGCTATATTGCTGACTGGTTTGAGAAGTGTGGGCGTTTACTTGGGAGGTCTACACGGTATGTTTTTGAGGGGTGTCTTATTATGGCTGGATGGGATGCAAAAGATGTTCCTTATGTTTGTGATGTTCAACGTTATGGAGTGACTTACGCAACCAGATCAGAACAGTGCGTTGGATTTGTGAACGGAAGCGGCCGTGAAAGGGTTCTGCAATACTTCCACGATTGCGAGCTCGAGAATAAGGTCCTGAGTTCAATTGAATTGTCACAAAATGTGATAAGGGGTTTATTATGTGCAACCCTTTTTGATGAAAATAGCGGTGGATATTTGTGCGTGTTTGAGGTTAAAAAAAAAATGTTGAAGTGGTATATCATCGAACGGTTCTAGGAGCGCTTTCTGAATATTACAATGACTTAGTTAGTTATCTTTCCCACTCATTGCTCTTTATCGTGGAAACACAAAAATACCCATATACACATGATAATAATGTGAGATTGGACGATAGATTCAGAGAAAAACTTCCAAAATATAGGGAGAACGTTGTCGTAAGGTGAGGAGAAAATTTCATTGTACGACTCGCACATTTTGATAACGCAGATGATCAACTATACGAGCAGCTGAGAATAGAAAATCGTCAACGTAATGTGTCTCCTGAAACTGAAGCTGTAATGGAAGAATTTGCTCTGGAACAATTTCAGCAAGATGCTATTTTGTTTGGTTTGCCAACATGGAAGTTGGTGCAAGCTTTAGATTTGTGGAAGCTTTAAAGGACGCGTAGCACCTTGGCGTCAACAATAGCCATCAAGATTGATGTGATTCCAAGTTTCAGGTTTCAAGGTTCTGGTGCAGATTGATATTCGGTGAAGTGATGGTGCAAAATAACCATTGAGTGTAGACTAACAGCTTTTCTTCCAGTTTCCCACTTATTGGTTTCACTTTGATTTACTGATGATGTCTTAGAGACTGAACATCTGGTGATTGACACTGGGATTCTGATTGTTGATCATGGCCGCATATATTTGACAATGAGAATCACAAGTTGAAAACCAAGAAATTTAATATTCCATATTATTTATCAGATTAGGAAAAAGAATATTGATAACCACGACGGCTAGTCATGAAAGTGATACATTAAGAATTGCAATGTTGCATGAGAAAATGCAAGCTCAAACCCAAATATGAAGATAATACACGAAAGTTATACCACTTGGGCATGCAAGCAAAGCATACCCCATCAGCTCCAGATATAATGCTCTTGATCAATGGCACAATCTTGCTACATCATATCCCAAAAAATATTTTGCCTGAGATAAGGCGGCAATCACAGTGGCTGAAGCAGTTGTAAAGTCATAAATGACAGAGTGGCTGATGAAGAGAAAAATCCATCCTAGCCTGAACGGGCAAAGATTATAATGTAACTGAAACTAAGGTGATGATGATCCAAAGCCAAACCTAATTTTATGATGACTAGTACAAACAAGACCTAATCAACATCATCATCAACAAGTTTTAGGCTCTGACTTCTTTAGATGTCAAAACGGAATGTATAAACTGCCGAGTGGCGTAAGTTTCAAACTCATATGACAACTTGTACTGAAAGTTGGAAGTTTTAATTATGTACTTTGATTTTAGTATATAACTTTTATTTCAAGCATAAGAATATAATAGACAATGACAATGCATCTGCTGCAAATTGCAATTCATTTGCGATAAAAACAATACAATATGTAGGCATCTAAATTATAGGATGCATGGCTAAACAAAAACATGCCCCATTTTTGGCAAACGACATAAAAAAGCACTCATTTCTCTTTTGCTTTAACTCTAGATTACAATTAATTCTCAATTCTCTACTCTTTTGGAGGACAAGCCTTGAAACAAATATAACCAGTATAAGGGTCGCAAGTAAAAGGAGAAGTCAAATCGCGTTCCGGGCACGTATCAAACCAATGGTCATATAGCTTCCCACAGGTTATACAATCCATGAGCATTGCACGTCCACGGGTATGGCCGCATTTGGCACAACATGAGTCTCTAAACCTACATCCGCAAACAGTACAAACAACCGAACAACCTTTGCCAAGAATTGCATTCTTTGGGACATCATACTTGTAGGGGCAAAGTTGCGTAATGTGATCATCCACCTTTAAACAATACCTACATTCACCTGTGTGCAATTTGTAGATCCATTGTTAAATACAACAAAAGCAATAAAATAATTACTTATTGTTTATTTGAAAAAAAAATTCAGGTAATGAATGAAGATGATACAACCCAAAAATAATTATTGTGAGCACATGACATAGAATTACAACAAATAAATTGATATTATGTCATAAGAGATTAAAAAATATATATATGATGAAACATATGTAAATACAGTATGCATCTTATATATATAAAGCAAACCAATAGGATTAGGATGGAGGATGGAGGAGGGAGGAGGGAGGTGGGAGGGCTATCTTTTTTTTTTCTTTTCGTCGCTAAAATCAATAGGCCAACAAGGTTTTGACTATTGGAAAAGAGCCTTAATTTGCAGACTAGTTGTCTCAAGTTCAAAGCCACATGACAACTCGATAGTGTGTATGAGACACCCACCTCCCCCTTGTAGTTTATACTATGGCTTGTATCAAAAATAAAAAACATACCAGCAGGAACAGGAGGGTCCGGTTCCTTCAAAAAGTCAACATTTGGTGCCGTGTGGTTAGCAAAATAAGTCATAAGTTCTTCAAACCTCCTTTGTTCTGCAGTCTTTGGTTGTTTAGGCTTGTTATCTGTTTGCATGCAATTATATTGTTAAATACAAAAGTAAAAAGGAAAAGAATGGGTTGTAACATCAAAGAAGTTAGAAGGAATGACATTGATCCTATTAACAAATAACTATATTATTAAATATCGATATTCATCATGCACGCACCAAAATAACTTGACTAGAAAAGATGAAAGTAATTCAAAATTTTGGGATAATATATACATCCTCTAATTACACCAACAAAAGTAAAACAAAAATAACAGTTTATTTTTTCCAAAACAACACAAAGCCCAATAGTAAAAGAGACAAATTTTTTGTTGAGAAATACACTCAATTAACCAAATGGAGCGACGATCTTCCTCTAAAAGTATTTTCAAATCAAATAGAACTAGGAAATTGTAAACCAAAAAAACATACATACCCATTGACTTCAAAATTGAATTCCAAAGTGACTTATCGGTGTCATAGCCGACCCTCTCTTGCTGGGAAAGGTCCTTTCCCCCACCGCCGTCCTTATCGAGCATCACCGATTGGCCAGCCACATTTGGCGAGCAAAGGAAAAGGTCCTCTGCAGAGAGGTTGTTATCAAGCATCATGTGGGAATCGAGCACCATGTGGGAAAGAGATTGGGAGGGATTTTAGGGTTAAAGGCTTGGCGTAGAGATGAGATTGTATTAAAAAGATGGGTGCTTGCTTATATAGGCGTGGACAGGGCTTTTTTTTTTTTTTTTTCCCTTTTTTCTTAGACCCCAAAATGCACGCATCTGACGTCTTTAATAAGCATAATGCACGTATTAAATGTTTTTATTCTTTTGTCATTATTATTTTTTCTCTAAAATTGTATACAGCAATTTAAATGTGTTTATGTAGTTTGTTTTGTTTCCTGTTTAGGCCTTGTTCTTTTTTTTTCTTTCCCTTTTTATTGTTAGTGCCGTATGGAACACGTCTTGGAGGGTTTTGGTACAAGATTTGATATCAAAAGTTATCTCTGTTTTTTATCTCCCCATCTTACTGTTTTTGTTGCTTTAGATCCTTTTTTTTTTTTTTTTGCATCTTTTTTCCAGTGTACTATCCCCAAAACAAAAGGGTAATATGTTTTTTTTATTGATTTCTTGAGGTTCAAGCCTGGAAAGTCTTGGTTCATAGAGTAATATTCTTTTACTTCCTAAAACAACAATTCTCATCTATAAAAGGATGCCTACCTACCGCTTGAACTTTTTCAAACTTACAAACCAACTCATCTTTCTTTCTCAACAACAAATTGGAGAGCCTTGGAGAGCCGAGTTGAGTTGAACTTTTGTTTTGCATTATGGCTGAGACATATTCTACGACCAATCAAGATTTGAAGGTTTGTGGCATTGCCACTACTTATATGCCAGCATGTACATAATAGTATATATATATATATACTTGGATGAGGCATATTCTCATCCTTATTTTCTTGTCTTTTCTTATCTAATAAATTTTAATTTTTTATTCAGGTAGAAGGATGGGGCACAACAAACATCGGTCTTATTAGTAATAGAGGCTGTGAAGCAATAATTGTTGGCGTCGATACAAGGGCTACAAGTCCTAATTATAAAGGATTTATTTTGAACGAGGGTGCAAAAAAAAATTTCTATATGGAGAGTTGCAATGTACTGGCAACTATGGCGGGAAATTCCATGGATTGTATGAATATATTATATAGTATGGATAACGTAATTGGACGTGCATGTGGGAACGTAGTTAATAATGGCATCCATCGTGCACCAGAAATAGCCCGTAGCTATATTGTTGACTGGTTTGAGAAGTGTGGGCGTTTACTTGGGATGTCTACACCGTATGTTTTTGAGGGGTGTCTTATTATGGCTGGATGGGATGAAGAAGATGTTCCTTATGTTTGTGATGTTCAACGTTATGGATTGACTTACGTAACCAGATCCGAAGAGTGCGTTGGATTTGTGAATGGAAGCGGCCGTGAAAAGGTTCAGGCATACTTGAGCACTTGCAAGAGGGTAGTCCAGAGTTCAATTGAATTGTCACAAAATGTGATAAGAGCTTTATTGTGTGCAACCCTTTTTGATGAAAATAGTGGTGGATATCTGTGCGTGTTTGAGGTTTAAAAAAAAAATGTTGAAGTGGTATATCATCGATCGGTTCTGGGAGCACTTTCTGAATATTACAATGACTTAGCTAGGTATCTTTCCCACTCATTGTTCTTTATTGTGGAAAAAGAAAAACACCCGTATACACATGATAATAATATGATATTGCACGATAGATTCAAAGCAAAACTTCCAAGATATAGGGAGAATGTTGTCGTAAGGCGCGGAGAAAATTACATTGCACGACTCGCACATTTTGATAACGCAGATGATCAACTATATGAGCAGCTGAGAAGAGAAAATCGTCAACGTGCTGTGACTCCTGAAACCGAAGCTCTAATGGAAGAATTTGGTCTGGAACAATTTGAGCAAGATGCTATTTTGTTTGGTTTGCCAACATGGAAGTTGGTGCACGCTTTAGATATCTGGGAGCTTTAAAGGACGCCTAGCACCTTGGGCATGCACTGCAAGAATGGTAATATTTTGTTTAAACTAGTCGGCGAGATAACCCATTTAATTTATTTCATTTGTTTTGATTTGTTTTGGTTTTTCTTTAATCACCGGACATGGAGATCCTTGATTGAGATTTTCTTAAGTCTTCTAGTAGTGTGTTCATGTAACATCGTACTCATTTGGAATTGAGATAATGCATATGTATATATATATATATACTGTTCTTAGCATAAAAGCTTATTTTAATTTTTCCTTCGGACCAAGCAAAACGACTTTATGTCGGGTTTTAGTATGAACCTGATATGTGTTGTTGGCAAATTTTTAGCTTTCCCCTTGCTTACAGTAATTGTTATAGCAATGATATCTTGGGAAATCTTCTTAGATAGGATCCACAATAGCGAACAAGTATCCCCAAAACCGTGTTAATAGCCAGTAGCACTAAATCAGAAGGGTTCTGCAATACTTCCACGATTGTGAGCTCGAGAATAAGGTCCTGAGTTCAATTGAATTGTCACAAAATGTGATAAGGGGTTTATTATGTGCAACCCTTTTTGATGAAAATAGTGGTGGATATTTGTGCGTGTTTGAGGTTAAAAAAAAAAATGTTGAAGAGGTATATCATCGAACGGTTCTAGGAGCGCTTTCTGAATATTACAATGACTTAGTTAGTTATCTTTCCCACTCATTGCTCTTTATCGTGGAAACACAAAAATACCCATATACACATGATAATAATGTGAGATTGGACGATAGATTCAGAGAAAAACTTCCAAGATATAGGGAGAACGTTGTCGTAAGGTGAGGAAAAAATTTCATTGTACGACTCGCACATGTTGATAACGCAGATGATCAACTATACGAGCAGCTGAGAATAGAAAATCGTCAACGTAATGTGTCTCCTGAAACTGAAGCTGTAATGGAAGAATTTGCTCTGGAACAATTTCAGCAAGATGCTATTTTGTTTGGTTTGCCAACATGGAAGTTGGTGGAAGCTTTAAAGGACGCGTAGCACCTTGGATGCACTGCAAGAATGGTAATATTTTGTTTAAACTAGTCAGTGAGATAACCCATTTAATTTATTTTATTTGTTTTTATTTGTTTTCGTTTTTCTTTAATCACCGGACACGCACCCAATTTGGTTGAGATCCTTGATTGAGCTTTTCTTAAGTCTTCTAGTAGTGTGTTCTGTTCACCGGGCATGCACCTGATATTTGTTGTTGGCAAATTTTTAGCTTTCCCCTTGCTTACAGTAATTGTTATAGCAATGATATCTTGGGAAGGGAAGTCTTAGATAGGATCCACAATAGCAAACAAGTATCTCCAAAACCGTGTTTACACGAGAAATTAAAGACAGAAATCAGTTTTCTGCAAAACCGTGTTAATAGCCAGTAGCACTAAAGCAAGAGTAACACCACACTAGAAAATGAACTGGTGGTATTTAGCAAAGGCAATAAATCATATAGGAACACTCTTAGGCCATGGAATCAGAATTTTACGATTATGAAATACATCATACATGCAACGTAACTGAATAATTGGTCAGCAAGCAGTTTTACCAGTGATACAAGATTGAAAAGCTTTGGCTGTACTGATGAATCTATTATAGACTAGATGTCCAAAGTCATTCAATATTTCGCTTCTTCTTCATTGATGCATGGCAGATAAAATAACATGATGCTTTTTCTAAACGATAAAATGAACGAGCTTTTATTAACCACAGAGAAAGTTTGAATCTCCCCTTGAAGCCCATGGACATGATATTATGATACCAATGTTTATCTAGCGGATCTCAGGGATACAAATGAAATTAGACGTAATTATAATACATTACCAACACAAACCTTAAGAATTACTATCATCCCGACAAGGTCACGAGTAAAGAATTCGGCCTTCCTCCAACTCTTCCCTCACAAGTATAGGTTGAAGCCAATAGGCTGCCTAGCCTGAACGAATTTGAATAATCCATGGTTATAGACGCATTAATTAACACAAAAGAGTTTTCAATGTTCTCGAGGACATAGAAATTTTCCTAGGGAAGTTTAGTCGCGAAACTCTATTATCCAACATACTAATAATGTCAATGTATATTTTTAACCCAAATTAGGCTACCCCCCATATCTTTTCTAAATAAATAGAACAAGGAGAATGCAGGCCCAATTAGGCTATCACCATATCTTGTATGCATGAGCAGAACTAACAAAAAAAGAAATTTGAAACAAGTGAATTAATACATAAACAGCAGAAAACAAAAGCTAGCTCTCAATAAGCTCACCTCGTCCACTGTTTCAATTCCTCTCAATCTAAGTATCCAACTCTTCTGGCCAGGGTGTCCTCTTCCCTGCACCAGCTCAACTTCTTCAACTGTTTCTCTGCCGGAAATTTGCTGTCTCAACTCAACCATCTTTTTCCAGGCTAATAAAAAAACATCAATTTACCATAAAAATAAATTATAACCTTCAAGGACACACACCCTCCAAGAATAACATTCCAAATCCATTTTAATTTTTACCTTGGAAAACCAAAATTCAGTAAATTCAGTGCTGGGTTACACACGAATCACCCCTTCAAGCCCATGGACATTGGAAACATAGTGAATCCTGACTCCGTCTCAGCAGTCTCAACAATCTCTTCAGACAATCTCTTCAGTGACTGAAGATGCAAAACAGACAATCAGATAAATATATTATACAAAGGATTTTAAAATCATCAAAGGGTATTCCACATGTGTATCCAGAAAGACCAAATCCTCCAAATGGCATTTCCATAAACATTGCACGGAATATTTTGTCACATATATAACAACTTTTACAATTATATAATTGCTGGACGGAACAAAGAAAAGGAAGAAAACAAGCAGTTCTCACTACCTAAACCTACCTAGCCCAAGCCCGATTCCCACTTTCTTTCTTTGATAAAATACAAGAATCAACCCCCTGTAATGTGAAGAGGTAAAACCTAAACATGCCACAAAAAAGCTGCAACTTATTTATGTTCCATATCTTCAGGCTCTAAGAAAAATAACAGGAGCCATAAAGCTTTACGCACACTCCTGATCAAAGTATGTCGGCTTTCATTATGTTTCCAGTTTGAGTTTTTTTTTTTTTTTTTTGGTAGATAGCTTTAAGTTTGAGTTGCAAATGAAGAGGAAGAGAAAGAGAATGCAGAGATGGAGAGAGAATGCTTTCGGAAAGAAAATTTAGTTTCCCGTAAAAGACACAAGGATAACTAAAAAATTTATTTTTATTCTTTATAAGGTTAAGACTCCATTCATCTAGTCGTCGAAAGTGCTGAAATCTAAAGGTATAAAATGTGTCAAAATGTGTGTCCCCGGATCGTGACCCATATATATAGCAAGCAAAACGACTTTATGTCGGGTTTTAGCATGAACCTGATATGTTGTTGGCAAATTTTTAGCTTTCCCCCTGCTTACAGTAATTGTTATAGCAATGATATCTTGGGAAGGGAAGTCTTAGATAGGATCCACAATAGCAAACAAGTATCTCCAAAACCGTGTTTACACGAGAAATTAAAGACAGAAATCAGTTTTCTGCAAAACCGTGTTAATAGCCAGTAGCACTAAAGCAAGAGTAACACCACACTAGAAAATGAACTGGTGGTATTTAGCAAAGGCAATAAATCATATAGGAACACTCTTAGGCCATGGAATCAGAATTTTACGATTATGAAATACATCATACATGCAACGTAACTGAATAATTGGTCAGCAAGCAGTTTTACCAGTGATACAAGATTGAAAAGCTTTGGCTGTACTGATGAATCTATTATAGACTAGATGTCCAAAGTCATTCAATATTTCGCTTCTTCTTCATTGATGCATGGCAGATAAAATAACATGATGCTTTTTCTAAACGATAAAATGAACGAGCTTTTATTAACCACAGAGAAAGTTTGAATCTCCCCTTGAAGCCCACGGACATGATATTATGATACCAATGTTTATCTAGCGGATCTCAGGGATACAAATGAAATTAAACGTAAGGATCACACACATGCTCATGCACAAAGCCATTTCTTTTAAAAATATCCAACACATTACCAGCACAAACCTTAAGAATTACTATCATCCCGACAAGATCACGGCTAAAGAATTCGGCCTTCCTCCAACTCTTCCCTCACAAGTAAAGGTTGAAGCCAATAAGCTGCCCAGCCTGAACGAATTTGAATAATCCATGGTTATAGAGACATTAACACAAAAGACTCTTCAATGTTCTCTAGGACACAGAAATTTTCCTAGGGAAGTTTAATCGTGAAGCTCTATTATCCAACATACTAATAATGTCAATATATATTTTTAACCCAAATTAGGCTACCCCCATATCTTTTCTAAATACACAGAACAAGGAGAATGCAGGCCCAATTAGGCTATCACCATATCTTGTATGCATGAACATAACTAACAAAAAAAGAAATTTGAAACAAGTGAATTAATACATAAACAGCAGAAAACAAAATCTAGCTCTCAATAAGCTCACCTCGTTACCTGTTTCAATTCCTCTCAATCTAAGTATCCAACTCTTCTGGCCAGGGTGTCCTCTTCCCTGCACCAGCTCAACTTCTTGAACTGTTTCTGTGCCGGAAATTTGCTGTCTCAACTCAACCATCTTTTTCCAGGCTAATAAAAAAAAAAACATTAATTTACCATAAAAACAAATGGTAATCTTCAAGGACAAACAGCCTCAAAGAATAACATTCCAAATCCATTTTAATTTTTACCTTGGAAAACCGCAATTCAGGAAATTCAGTGCTGGGGTACACACGAATCTCCCCTTCAAGCCCATGTTCATTGGAAACATAGTGAATCCTGACTCCGTCTCAGCAGTCTCAACAATCACTTCAGTGACTGAAGAAGCAAAACAGACAATCAAATAAATATATTATACAAAGGATTTTAAAATCATCGAAGGGTATTCCACTTGTGTATCCAGAAAGACCAAATCCTCCAAATGGCATTTTCATAAACATTGCACGGAATGTTCTGTCACATATATAACAATTTTTACAATAATTTAATTGCTGGAGGGAACAAAGAAAAGGAAGAAAACAAGCAGTTCTCACTGCCTTGTCTAAACCTACCCATGCCTGATTCCCACTTTCTTTCTTTGATAAAATACAAGACTCAACCCCCTGTATCGTGAAGAGGGAAAACCTAAACATGCCATAAAAAAGCTGCAACTTATTTATGTTCCATATCTTCAGGCTCTAAGAAAAATAATAGGAGCCACAGAGCTTTATGCACACTCCTGATCAAAGTCTGTAGCAATGCATACTAGTGAGTGTTTGGCTCATTGTCTGTAGCAATGCATACAAGTGAGTGTTTGGCTCATTGTCTGTAGCAACTTATATATATATAGGAGCCATAGAGCTGCAACTTATATATATATATATATATATATATATATATATATATATATAGTAAAGTTCAGGATCCAGAGTTAAAGTCTGAATACCTAAAGAAATTTAGAAAAATCATAAGTCAAGAAGAGTCTAGTTCCCCTATGCCTCCTAAGATAAGTCTTAATGCCACTTTAGAAAGATTTAATAGAAAGAAGGAAGTCACCCTCCAGGATCTTCAGTTATATGTGTGTGTGTGTGTGTGTGTGAGTGTTTGGCTCATTGTCTGTAGCAATGCATACTAGTGGTAGACAAGCTGATGGAATGGGATGGGCATATGATTTCAGAATTTTATCTTGTACTAGCCTCTCCGCACTCGCTTAATCGGGTTTTGCTCGTGAGACTCACTTGTTCGCTATATGATCTGCGCACACTTTCATATGTACGATCTACTCCTAACACATGACATTAATTCATCACATACAATACAAGTTCCAAAGGGCACTATCCACGACCAGATAAAATGAACAGATTTCTCCTTTAAAATATAGCTTAACTTGCAGAAAACGAAAAACATAGAAAAAGGAAACCACAGAAAATTCTCATCAAAGAAAGAAAAATGGTCGAGATATGCCAATAAAAAATCCTGGGAAACAACTAAGGCAATGGTCAAGCATACAAAGAGCAGTACACAACATTTAACATGAAGCAGAATGAATCAAGAAAAATAAATGGTTAGAACTTTCCTCTCAATGCTTAGTTAGAATATGTTCAATGTAGATTAAGAAGAAATAAATAACTAACCAACTTGTGCAAACAATCTGTAGGGCTGTCCAACAAGGAAAAGAGTACAACCAAAGCAAATGATATGGATACCTTCCTGTTGAGAGTATTTGTCCCACATTGAAAAGTTAAGGGACCAAGCCTGGGTTTATAAGGAGTTGGGCTACTCCCCCCATTGCCAATTGGTTCTGGGGTGGAACCTCAACTTCCTTCATGGTATCAGAGCAAGGCTTTACGTGTTGGGCTCAACAGCCACACGTGCTCCCACGTCACCCAATATGTGTTGTCCACGTCTTAGGCTTGAAAGTTCGCCACACGTGCGGGGGCGTGTTGAGAGTATTTGTCCCACATTGAAAAGTTAAGCGACCAAGCCTGAGTTTATAAGGAGTTGGGCTACTCCCCCCATTGCCAATTGGTTTTGGGGTGGAACCTTCCATCTTCATTCCCAAAAGAGAAACGAAAATAGAAACGATATTCAATCTCAACAGTCAACGGCTCCACTTATGGGTGAACCCCAAGCCCATTAACAGTTGAGATTGGATACCACTATTCAAGCTGCACAACTAAACATATAGCAACCATGATAGGGGAGTAAACCTATGATATCATATATCAGTAATGCATATCCCCACAAAAGCATTAAGATAAAGAAAGGTCGTGATGTGTGACTTTGAAGGCAACACAACTGTGTAAACATAGAAAACACTATAAGCGGATTCCAATGGCTATAATTACTGTCGAGAATAGTACAGAGACATACCAAGAGCTGCATACGTTTCTTCCCAATAGGGTACTGATATGGGTTAGGGGTTTGCATGGAGAATGTAGTAAACCACAGGATGAAGCCAGACAAAAGATCGAGCAATGAGTCCAATGTGGATGCAACGATGGCTAATGAACCACTTCTGAGAGATGCATAAACTTTAGCTGCAAAAAGAACCATATTTGATATTCTGATGGCATATGTCTCACTTTTTGCCAACTTTTCCTGCTCTTCCTGCAACATAAGTTGTTATATATCAGTTTAAAAGTGATTTGAGTGTTCTGATATTGTTTACAGAGACAGAGAACATGATGCAATACAAAAGACATTCCAGGAATTAAACCACGCTCCACTAAGGCATCCATTCGGTAAAGCCCTCGAGCATTTCTACCTGTTCTTGGTAGTACTCGGGCACATTATCTTCCGGGCCTGAGGCCATCAAGCAGAACAATTAACATGGTACCAGTTGAAGCTCCTCATATGCTAATTGCATAAAGAATAATTAACATTTGCATATATTCCCTTTGCCCCTTTCACCCTTCACATAGAGGATGAAAATATGAAACCCTGTTTCACCCTTTACACAGATGATGAAACTATAAACTAATTCAGTAAATACTCAATACTCCAACCACAACCAGAAAATGAGTTATTTATCAGATCATCAAAGTTGACGATATGCAAACAAATAGGTTGCAAGTGAACTTACACTCTGACAGTCAATCCTGAAGATCATTCAATACAAGGGGCAGCTTAAGTAAGGAACCCAACAATCCTACAGGGTCCCTTCCATTAAGAAAACTAAAGACACTTTGCATAACACAGAGCACATTAAAAAAACCCATAAACTATAAACCGCTCATCTCCAGCACTCTCCCACAAATGTTTCTAATTCACCTCCACTTTAAGCTTTTCGATTACATTTTTTTATATGGCAAATTGTATCCTCCACACCCTTTGGAATCACAAATATATTCATATGTAAGAAAAAGAAAAATTAAAATCTCACCACAAAAATGAATCCAACAGAATATTGGCACCAAAACAAAACAAAAAACAAAAAAAAGTTGAGCTACCAAAACAAGAAAAATTCTGGGAGACCAAAGCACGCAACAGAATATTGGCATTTGAGTTGAGACAATAAAAAAAACAAAGATAATCACAACAAATATACCATTCCTTTAACAATGAAGGTGAAGATGTGGAATTACCTAAAACCCCCAGGCAGTCATGGAGGCCACAGGGAAGTCTTTTCTCCTTGTGCTCTCTGAGGACACCTGGAAACCGTCGAAGTTCAACCGCCATGACCCGTCAACATTGCTCGACTCTCTCCTCGTTGTAGTCGGGCGTCACCGGCTCCACCAATTCCTGGTTGCTGGGAGAGTGAGAGACAAGGAAAATAGGGGCAGAGAAGTAGTGTCGGATGAGCAACGGAGCATTGAGGGTAGGAACTGAAAATTTGAAGAGACTCGGAGGGCTTTTTGGGGATATACAGAATTTCTTTATAGGACTCTGTTGTGGTGTGCATAGACGGAGATTTGGGAGTAAAGGGTCCGCGATATGTGGGATTCGTGGGTCCACGATGGGAGAGCCGCTGACACATTGGACAGCGCCACTTATACTTTGGGCCTTTGGCCTCTATATTGGTATCGGAAAACTGGAATATCGAACCGGACTGGATAGAAAAAACTAAGGAAAAAAAAATCGGTTGCTTACAAAAGTCAATAAACTGGCACCAAATCGGATGGATTCCAACAGGTTCTGGTTTTGATTTCACACCTTACCAAATCGGACGAGATCAGATCGAACCGATTGTATATAATTTCATTTTGTTTATAAAATTATTTAAATTCAATACTACATTTTTAATCTCATAACTAATATTCACCAAGATTAACTTCAAAACATCTTTCTTTTCTAGGCCCAATATCTCTCTTTATATGAAATTGGATCTTTTGTTAATTTTCAAACCCAAAAAATTAAATTTTAGTTGAAATTTGTATAAAAAAATAATTTTAATAATAATAATAATAATAATCCAGTCCAAAATCAGAAAAATCAAAAATTGAATTGGAACCGGTTCAAATTAGACCGGCTAATTTCATAATTTTTTCACTAAAATCAGACCGAAGCAAACCAGTTAAATAGTACCAATTTCAGTTATAGTTTGAGGTAAAAATCAAACTGAACCAAACCGCATATCTATTATTGTGTTTTTTTTAATGCGGAATATCTATTGTTGTAAGGGTGCGCAAAAAATGGCTCAATCGGATCCTAGGTGATGTTTGTCCAAACCAAATTAAACTGTAACTTGTTTGGTTTGATTTTGCCCAACTAAAAAACCATCCAGACCAAAGTAAACATCTTTTTTATTTACTTGACATTTTCATTGGTATACAAATTCTTTGTGTTTTGAATGAATTGCTTTTGAGTTTGATTTGAATTTACCATCTGCTGGACAATGACATTAGTTACTTGGCAACTCTACTGCCAAAGGGCGTGAAAGATTCATTTCAGTTGTTACTTGCATAGGTTCTGTCTGGATTTTACTGAAGAAATATGGTCATGTGGATATTACTCTGATTTGAAGACCACTTTTAGAAAATTAACAGTTCATGAACTAACTGAACTTGTCTGTTCAATGGCTTCAGCTTCATCACAGTTTGTCCATCTTAGCTTCGTAAGTCATGATGACCTATAATCTTAGTCTTGTTTAGTGGTGCTCTGCTCAGTTCGTCTTTCATTTCCAGTTACTAATGCAGTAGAAGTCTTTTGTTGTATACCAGGGGTATTTTTAGTAGTTAAATAGGGTGTACTTAGTTAATTTTACATTTTAATTTAAATGTTAGGGTCCGGGCCGGTCCATTGATTTTGAAAGCCTTGAACAAAGAGTGACATTAAAGCCCTGTATATACAAATAAAAATGTTATGATATTCTCACAGAGAAGAAGAAAAAAAGGGTTAATGACAAAGTTATGAACAAAACAACACTATTTTCTCATTCCCATGGACTCCTACAGTTATGAAAAAAACAACAAAGTTATGAAAAAAATGTATAAAGACAATGCCCACGGACTCCTACAGTTAAAAATGAATTAACACAGGACTGGACTGACAGTTTACGATCATTTAAACAGAGAAAGCAAAGCTACAAGTAAAAGGTTCTATGGTGGAGTGGAGCTCATCTTACCAAAATAGCTACACCAGTAATGACAAGTGCGGTGTGAATCAAAGATGTAGCATATCCAAAAGCTCGAGGAATAGAAAAGCTTGGTAGGCCCTGAGGTATATCTCCTACCTAATTTCTAAACAACAGCCGAGATCCTTTAGCAACCTACTATTAACCTAAAGTGATGTCAAATTCTGCTCTTACATGAAAACAGAAGGAAAAATAGCAACATTCATAGTTATTCAATTTTAAAACAGGCACCGGATTAGATTGTGACTGTTTAGGAAACTCTATCATTCCATATAATAGGCCTGCATTTCAACCATTCTATGCCAAGAGTGGCTGATGAAGCAAATAATATTTTGCCTGAGATAAGGCGACAATCACAATGGCTGAAGCAGTTGTAAAGCTAGAAATGACAGGGTGGCTGATGAAGCAAATAATCCATCCTAGCCTGAACGGGCAAAGATTATAATGTAACTGAAACTAAGGTGATGATGATCCAAACCCAAACCTAATTTTGTGACTAGTACAAACAAGACCTAATTAATGTTGTGGTATGATCGATATAGGATTATATATCTCCTGATTCTGGATTAGCTACAATTACCAACAACATTATCATCAACAAGTTTTAGGCTCTGACTTCTTTAGATGTCAAAACGGAATGTATAAACTGCTGAGTGGCATAAGTTTCAAACTCATATGACAACTTGTTCTGAAAGTTGGAAGTTTTAAATATGTACTTTGATTTTAGTATATAACTTTTATTTCAACTACTTTCAGAGGTTGTCGAAGCATCACTTGGCCTGGCCCTCATATCACATGCATGACACTGCGAAAATATCTTTGAATGTATTTCCAACTCCATCCTTATTCTTCAAACCTTGGTCATTCATGCCTAGTTTTATTGTTTAGCAAGTCTTTAAATTAAAATAAAGTATACTAACCCCATAAGAGAAGAACAAAATGTATTGAGATAAAAACCACCTTTTACTTGAGACATTTCCTAAATAGATGGATTGGATTCCCACATCTTCAAGCATAAGAATATAATAGACAATCACAATGCATCTGCTGCAAATTGCAATTCATTTGCGATAAAAACAATACAAGTTGTAGGCATCTAAATGATAAGATGCATGGCTAAACAAAAAACATGCCCCATTTTTTGCAAACAACATAAAAAAGCACTCCTTTCTCTTTTGCTTTAACTCTAGAGTACTATTCATTCTCTATTCTCTACTATTTTGGAGGACAAGCCTTGAAAGAAATATAATCAGTATAAGGGTCGTACATAAAAGAAGAATTCAAATCGCGTTGCGGGCACATATCAGGCCAGTGGTCATATGGCTTCCCACAGATTCTACAATTCATGAGGATTGCACGTCCACGGGTATTGCCGCATTTGGCACAACATGAGTCTCTAAACCTACATCCGCAGACAATACACTGAATCGAACAACCCTTGCCAAGAATTGCATTCTTTGGGACATCATACTTGTAAGGGCACCGTTGTGTAATGTGATCATCCACCTTTAAACAGTACCTACATTCACCTGTATGCAATTTGTAAACTCATTGTTAAATACAACAAAAGCAATAAAAATAAATACTTTTTGCTTTTTTTTTTTTGGTTAATGAAGAAGATAAATCCCAAAAATAAGTATTGTGAGCACATGACATAGAATTATAACGTATACGTAGATATTATGTCATACAGTGAATACATGGATATTATATTATAAGAAGAAAGAAAAAATATATGTAAATACAGTATGGATCTTTTTTTTTTATATTATGTATAATTAAAAGCATACCAATAGGATTAGGAGGGAGGAGGGAGGTGGGAGGGCTATCTATTTTTGTTTTTTTTTATTTTTGTCTCTAAAATCAATAGGCTAACAAGGTTTTGACTAGTGGAAAAGAGCCTTAATTTGCAAACTAGTTGTCTCAAGTTCAAAGCCACATGACAACTCGATAGTGTGTGTGAGACACCCACCTCACCCTTGTAGTTTATACTATGGCTTGTATCATAAATAAAAATAAATAAAAAACATACCAGCAGGAATAGGAGGGTCCGGGGCCTTCAAAAAGTCAACATTTGGTGATGTGTGGTTAACAAAATAAGTGATAAGTTCTTCAAACCTCCTTTGTTCTGCAGTCTTTGGTGGTTTAGCCTTGTCATCTTCTGTTTGCATGCAAACACATTGTTAAATACAAAAGTAAAAAGGAAAAGAATGGGTGATAACGTCAAAGAAGTTGGAAGAATGACATTGATCCTATTAACAAATAACGTCAAAAACAACAGTTTCTTTCGACCAACTTCAATTACTTCCCAAAAATAAAAGAGACAAAAATTTTGTTGAGAAATACACTCAAATAACCAAATGGAGCAACGATCTTCCTCTTAAAGTATTTTCAAATCAAATAGAATTAGGATATTGTACGAAACGAAATTCTACCACATAAACCAGAAAAACATACATACCCATTGACTTCAAAATTGAATTCCAAAGCGACTTATCGGTGTCATAGCCGACCCTCTCTTGCGGGGAAAGGTCCGTTCCCCCTCCGCCGTCCTTATCGAGCACCACCGATTGGCCAGCCACATTTGGCGAGCAGTTGTTATCAAGCACCATGTGGGGGATTTTAGAGTTAAGGGCTTTTTATCTTTAGACCCCAATGCACATCTGACGTCTTTAATAAGCATTATGTACGTATTAAATGTTTTTATTCGTTTATAATTATTATTTTTTTCTCTAAAATTGTATACAGCAATTTAAATGTGTTTATGTGGTTTGTTTTGTTTCTTGTTTAGCCCTTGTTCTTTTTTTTTTCCTTCCCTTTTATTGTTAGTGCCGTATGGAAGACACGTCTTGGAGGGTTTTGGTACAAGATTTGATATCAAAAGTTATCTCTGTTTTTTGTCTCCCCACTGTTTTTGTTCCTTCAGATCTTTTTTTTGTTTTGCATCTTTTTTCCAGTGTACTATCCCCAAAACAAAAGGGTAATATATTTTTTATTGATTTCTTGAGGTTCAAGCATGGAAAGGCTATGGCTTGTCTTCTTGTTTTGTTTAGCACTAGTTTGCGAGTCAAATAAAGAACCGGGTTTAACCTGAAAACGAAAATTCATTAGATATTTTTAGCCCATCTGAAAAGGACCTAAGCTTGAATCTAGGCCGTGGGTCGAATATGGGCTTGAGTCTTCACTTTTGGAGACAACCCAATCTTAATCCAAAAGTCTCCCAAAATAAAATAAAAACTAACCTGGCAAAGAAACATAACATATGGGTTCAATTTTGAAAACAAAAAGAGTATTGACCCAAATGTGGGTATGTTTTCTTTGGACTACGGTTTTTTTAAGGGAACCCAAAGGCATCAGAAAAAACTTCATTAATTTGTAGAAATTAAATTACATGGCTCATTTTGTAAGAGCTTTAATTTGTAATAAGTCATAGAGACTCTTTGAATTTTTTGTGTAGTTTTTATCTTTTTTTTTGTGAGAGTTT